GTTTTTTTTTTTTTTTCTTTTTTGGTTTAAGGCAGGAGGTAAGTTTGTCTTTATTATCTTTCATGTCATTATTTTATTCTGTCTTTCTAGGCCATCGAGATGCTTTTCAAGGTTTTTGTTTTATGTTTTGTTTTTATCATCCAACTTATTAAATCATCCTCTCAGCTGTGTGTCATTGGCAAACTTAATAAACATTCTATTTGTGTCTTTATCCACGGCATTGAAGAAACATTGGGGGAGAAAAAGTAAATAGAAGATGCTGCTTCAGGCTTCAACTTATATTTTTCTCCCCTGATTTAAAGATTTTTGAGATACGATTAAATCCGTTGCTGGAAATCACATCCGTAAATCTATGACATCACTCAGCTGGTAAATAATAAAAAATGGACATAACGAGAGCTGGTGAAATTTCTATCTTGTGGAACTTTGTTGCTGGTGCTTCCGACTTCCTTCTAGAAGGGTTCAGAAATGTAGGGCAGATGAGAGTCTGTCGCTGCTGGAAGTCAGTGCCCTGGGGATGAGTGGCAGCATCTCACCCTCCTGTCCTGTGCATGCTGCCATCTCCACCTGGGGATCAGGGACTTCCTTACAGGTGTTTATATGTTCTTCATGCAACATTGGCACACACACATTGTACGTGCACAGCACAATTTTCCTTTGGTCTACGGAAAACTCTAGGTGTAACGCTCACTTGGCACAGATTTACAGCACAGTAAATTCTCTCTTTTTTTTGATTTTTATGTTTATTTATTTTTAAGAGCGAGAGAGACAGAGTGCGAGCGGGGGAGGGGCAGAGAGAGAGGGAGACACAGAATCCAAAGCGGGTTCCAGGCCCTGAGCTGCCCTCAGCGTTGCCGGTGGAACTTGACTTTGTGACTTTTCCTAAAGCCATGAAATTCACTGTTACAGGTGTGAGTTCACAGTGGATGTCACTCCAAGAACATCCCCGTGTGGTATCTTTAGGACCATCGTAGTATCATGATGTAGAGTCTGTGTTGAAGGAATGCTTATGGCCCCGAAGAAGCACTTAACATGTTCAATTATTCTTGACTGAATGGCAGGAAGGCACGCGGCGAGACGTGGGCACTCACCAGTGTCTCGGGATAGACACCTGACCAATGCCGAGGCTTTCCTCCACTGAACAGCTGCTTCTTGTTGCCCATTGATGGCAACCCTTGACTTCCCGCTGCATCCCTGCTGGACAAGTTCTTTTGATCTGCTTAAGGCCACGGGCTCTCGTCAAGAGAGCCCTACCTCGAAAACCTTGCTTTACTGCAGACCAGGTAAAGCTGACCAGGCGGCTGGCCCTCTCCGCTTCCAGATGGGTTTAACAGTCATAGCTCCGGCTTCACTGGACGGTTGTGACATTTAACATCACATTTACACACACGAGATGTTTAGCATAAAGCACACAGTGAATTTCAGCCCTCCCTCTGTTCCCACCCGGTGACTGAGCAAATGCCACCCCTCCTGTCTTTTCCTGAGGACACGGCCTTTCCCTTGGGGGCCCCAAGCCCAGCTCTGCTTGTTTGCTGCGTTCCTGCTTCTGAGTCCAAGAGTATTTTTTGCTCTTGGCCACATTCTGGCGTGAGATGTGGGACATGTCCCTCAACCACTCACCCTCTGCCGCCCAAACCTTCCTTTTTTCATTTCTCAGTCAACCCGCACAGAGACTATGGCACAGGGGTTGGGGGTGAGGCCAATGTATCTGCCTGCCTGGGTTCAAGTTTTGGCTCTACCTTTTGCTAAGTAGGCGGTCTCAGGCAAGATATTTAACCTCTCTGTGCCTTGCTTTTCTCATCTGTGAAATGCAGACAATCTTGCATGCTCTTGAATAACAATCTTGATGATCTCACAGACTCACTGGGACGGTTCAGTGACTTCATCTATCTAAGGTGTTTAGGATGGATCTTGGTTTGTAGTAAGTCCTGTGTAAGCGTACATTATTATTATTTTTCTTATATGTCGGGTCACCTGTTCTCTTAATTATCTGCCCCACCCTCATCTTTTAAAATGAGTATTTTTTACAATTAATGACATTCTGATCCCTACTACTTGCTGGACACAAACTCACCTCCTCCTTGGCCTGTGCATTACCCACCATTTCCATTCTTGGTTCACAACATCCATTCTCATAGTAAAAAAAAAATATATATATATATATACATATATGTATGTGTATACATATGTGTGTGTGTATATATGTATATACACACATATGTATATATGTATATATATCATATATTATATATATTCTTTCATTGACTGTACATGAATCACTTAAAAATATGTAACCAATCACATGTGTCTTTTACTCTAGACAGTGCTGATCTATGGTAAGAAAAGGGCGAGAGTGACTCTCAGATTCACGATCACACATAGAAGGTGGGTATTCTGGCACAATTTTCCAATTCCCACTGGCCTTCTAATTTGCAAATAATCTCAGCTAGCTCTCTCAGAGGGAGAGGAAGATGGAACCACGTTGATGTGCTTAGACAAAGAAGAAATTAAATACTGTTAGTAGGTGTGGATCTTTAACGAACCCATGAGCAAATTTCACATGAAGAAGCAGGGAACAGGCACTGAGCCTCACTTGTGTTTCAGTTTGTGTCATGTCCCAAACGACGCTGGCTCCTTTGCCTTCACAGACAACAGAGTCCACAACCACCGATCACAGCGTGTTTCAAAGGCAAAGTAGTGGCTTTAGAATGTATCACTTGAACAATTTACCCCCAAGACCATCTGATAAACCTTCTCTTCCGCATCACTGAGAAAAACAACACACCTTCTCTCGAACCAAACCAAGAAGAAGAGTATTGGTGATGGAACCCAATGACAAGAAATTTACCCAGTCACTTAAAAAATCCAAAGTCACACCAGCTAATATAATTCTTATACCAAACACATTCTTACCACACGTTTATACCGAAAGCACAGAATTCTTACCTATAACTTTTCCTAGAAAGAGCGACTTGGGAGAATTGAACAGGGTGTCAGATGAACTCGGCAGATGGTAACTCACAGAAGGATAATGATCGAGCTGCGGGGAGAAAACAAGAGACACTTTTAGAAGGAAATGGCTAACTTGCCCTGGAATCAAATCTTCCTGGGGGGGGGGGATGACATCACTCTTCGAACTCTGGTGTCCTGATATCTTATTTCAGAAGGTGCTGACTCTGAAATACCAGCCTGAGAAAACGGGAAGCCCATTTATTCCTTCTGTGGGGTTATTTGAAAATATCTGAGCTTGGGAAGTGAAGACTCCTTGTGAATTGTCCTGCAGCTTACACACATTTTTCTGTGAAGAATTTGTGAACATTTTCGGCTGGATAAGATCCTTGCTCGTTTTATTTGCTGTGTTTTTTTAAAGTTTATTTGTATTTATTTTGGGAGAGAAATAGAGAGCAAGCAGGGAGGAGAGAGAGAGAGAGAGAGAGAGAGAGAGAGAGAGAGAGAGAGAGAAGGAGAGAGAGAGAGAGGGAGGGAGAGAGAGAATCCCAAGCAGGCTCCTCCCTGTCAGCACAGAGCCCGGTGTGGGGCTCAAACTCATGAACCGTGAGATCATGACCTGAGCTGAAATCAAGAGCTGGACACTTGGGATGCCTAGGCGTCTCAATTGGTCAAGCATCTGACTTCAGCTCAGGTCACGATCTCACGGTTTGTGAGTTTGAGCCCTACATCGGGCTCTGCACTGGTGGTATACAGCCTGCTTGGGATTCTCTCTCTCGCTCCCTCTTAAAATAAATAAACTTAAAAAGAAAAAAAGAGTTGGACACTTCACCAACCGAACCACCCAGGCAACCCCCTTGCTCATTTCAATAGAGTAAAATCTACTTGATCTAATCTCCAGTATTGACTTCTGAGATAGAAAATGCTACAACAATGAATTTTCTTTAAGATCCGCTTATTGTCCTGTTTTATTCACCTTTCCATACCATATAAGCTTTCAGACCAATGCTGATTTTTGGTATGTATATTCAAATATGAATATATATACATAAATATGTATATTCAATGTTGACATCCATGTTGGGTAAAATATAGTTTTTTGGCTTATCAAATGAGGACGATACCCCCACAGGGCAGGGACATTACAGCCTGGAGGGGACAAAGACACATGTGCTCCAGCAAGGCTCGTTCTTTCCGAGGGGAGGGGAGTTGGCAGTGGAGGGAAGGGAAAAATGAAGCAGGTGGAAAGAGCTTACAGATCATGGCTGTCGGAGCAACGCCCGTTTCTGGTTACATTTCCTGGGAACCAAGTGCAAACGCCGATTTCCCAGTACGAGGACGTCTCCTGTCCTCTGTGTCCCAACATGGCTTTTCCTGCCTTAGCTGTCTTCTTACAATTGACACCGTCTAGTTCTGTTTCCCCCACCGGGAGCCTCTAGAGTTTTCTGCGCCTCTTTGTAGCCACCTGTGAAAAATCTCTTTCTCAGCCTTTCGCTTTTCTGAGATGAGTTTCGTACCCGCTAAGGTAAGCAGGCGAAGGGTGCAGATGAGAGGAAACACGGCGCCACCGTCCCTGCGCTGCTGGAACTGCACACGGGGGGGGGGGGGGGGGGGGGGGGGGGGGGGGGGCTTGCTGAAGGCAGCGTTCAGACTCCAGAAACGACCCACTCCCGGGTCCTTGGTCACCGATAAAACTGGGCTGAGGCTGCGGGAAGTGAGGCTGTCAGCAGCAACGGTGCTGGGAAGTGAGCTCATGTCACGTGCCGCGTGGAGGATGAGCCTCTTTGAGGAATGATCTACACCTGACTCCTGAGACTGCTTACTAGAGACGCAGGGCTTATTGAAAAGCCGGGGTTCAAAGACTCATCGCATCTCAGGAATCTGGGGAAGGCTGACCTGCAGAGCTGGTAGAGTATAGTAAGTTACGGTGCATGGGAACTGCAGGCACCGTAACAGAGCTCCAGAAAACACTGGCAAAGCAAACGCTGGCATGCTCAGCTCTAATTCTGAAAAGTTTTCTGTAATTTGAAGTGCATCGCTCACAAAACACTTATTCTGGCCAGAGAATCTGAAGATCCTTGAAATCTCATCAAGTTGCTCTGCTGGCTGCTAAATATTAGCCAGCTGCTTTGGCGCCATCTGGCGGCAAATATGGGTAACTGCTGCGGTCCGTCCCTCTACTTCCGCGGTCAGAAATTTTTTGTGGTCAAAAAAGATACTCGTGGAAAGCCAACATAAGGGGCTACCCTACATGCTTCACAGCGATGATCTTCCCCTAAATACTTCTTATATTTTTATCTGTCTTGCCAAAGAACTTAAAGATGGATACAAACAATATACGTTCATTATAGAGAAAATAATAGTATAGATTTGCAGGAAAAAAACCCCACCTGGTGATAATGTTTTTATCAAGTCAGTTTGTTAATGTATATAGCTTTGATTTTTTTCCCCAAAATTGGATGGGACCCAACTATGCATATTGCTTTGTATTTACTTTTCATTACTTAAAGATGTATTATGAAATTCCATGTCAATAAATCTACAACTAAATCACTTGTCAGGAATGACTGGTATTCCATTTTATGAATATACTGTGCATAATCTTAAAAACTATCAAATTTTGATGTTTAGACTTTTAGATTTCTTTTGTCTTTTGGCCCTGTACACTGCCAAGCACATAGTAGGTCCTCAATAAAAATGTGTTGATATATGTTAATCTAACTCTTAAAGTAGTAGACACAGGGGCGCCTGGGTGGCTCAGTCAGTTAGGTGTCCGACTTCGGCTCAGGTCATGATCTCATGGTCCGTGAGTTCAAGCCCCGCATCGGGCTCTGTGCTGACAGCTCAGAGCCTGGAGCCTGCTTTGGATTCTGTGTCTCCCTCTCTCTCTGCCCCGCCCCACCTCACGCTCTGTCTCTCTCTGTGTCTCAAAAATGAATAAAGGTTAAAAATAATTTTTTTTTAATTTTTTTTTTCAACGTTTATTTATTTTTGGGACAGAGAGAGACAGAGCATGAACGGGGGAGGGACAGAGAGAGAGGGAGACACAGAATCGGAAATAGGCTCCAGGCTCTGAGCCATCAGCCCAGAAACT